AACTTCAAAATAAAAAATAATTTTTGATACTTACTTAAAGAAGTATTATCTTAAAAGGGATAGATATGAATGGACATCATTTGAAATGGTGCCAAAGTCTCCAGAAAGAAAATGCCCGAGGATAAAGATTCCATGATGATTTATTTGTTCCCTTCATAGAGAATCAATACTTTTGGGATTTGAGAAAAGTCAAAACTTTATCTATTAAACTAGTTCATCACCAACTGACACAAACACATGCTTTTTTAATTAGTTAACGAAAAACCATTAGTTATGCAAGCAGTTTCTAGTTTCGGAAACTTTAAAGTTACGTAAAAAACCCCCAAGTTTCAATTAGCGCTCTATGTACTTTAGTGGAGAGATGGGGGATATGCAACGACTCCAACAGCAATACAAACGAGCTGCTATAATTAAGGAGCACCAACCGAAACCGTACGTTACATGTTGTCCGTAAATAATTGATATTAGTTTTAGTTCATACCCGTGTAACACGGCGGTTATGGTAGATTACTCACTGTCGACATTGTTCCCAACTGAGATACGGCGCAAATCCATCAAATAAAACACAAAAAAAACAAAGCCCGTTTTAAAATAACAATACACGAATTCATGCGTACCGATATATTAATGTACATCGCATTGTTATTCATAGTTTTGTTCGTGCATCGATATTTTCAAAATAATATCATTTTTCTTGCGAGATAGTGGTTTAAAAACAAATCGCAACCGGTGAAAATAAACACCGCAGGGTAAAAATGGAAACATTAAAAACCGCGTTGCGGTTGTAAATATTACAGGGAGATTGATATCCGCAAAAACCGCTCGCTGCAAATTGAACGATTTTGAGAAGCGTGCCCGATTTCCAATAAATCATATCCCTTGAACGCTAACGCGCCCGCCGCAGCCCTTTTCTCTCTATATTCCATAGCTCTGCTATGTGGGCCAGCATTATGAAAAATTCATCGACCCAGCGAAACCTCAGGCCGCAAATAAAAGTACGTCCCAGAGATCAAAGATGATTGATCTCTTTTAGAGACAACCTGCCCTGTATACGTGTTTGTGTGGGTATCTCATCGCGGTGGCCTAATGTTACTATTAACGGGGACGCATCTGTCGCAACCGAGTCTTCATCCAACAGACAAAGATCGATGCCCCTCCGGAATACTCGGAATATGCGAGTAATATACTTTGCAAATGATTCCTGTACGCATGGAATACATGAATGTCAAATTTCCATAACTTTTATGTCGTGACGTGAGCTGCAAAATGGAACTCTCACCCACATCGGGATATGTGAAGAGTACAAATGTTCAGTTATATACTCTGACGCATAGAATTCTAAACAAGCTTTTTTTTAATATTAAAATATAAATTCTATACATGTTCCACTTTATTTTAAACGATATGAAGACACGTCAATTTTAAAATTTTGTTTTAAGGAAATTGAATTGAAACTAACATATTTCTTTGATTGTATGAATCCATGTTGCAAGTTATATATGGGAAAATGTATATGTATATATGTTACAGTCATTGTGATTAAATTGCTATTATACATAATGACTGGTCATTATATATAATAACGAATTTGTCTAAACAATGTGATAAATTAATCACTATATCCAGACATTATTCATAACAGCTGTTCAAAGTACACTAACACATTTAGTACATCAGCTAAAGTCGGATTAAATAGTCTTCCTAAAGAGGTGCTAGTTGAACTATCAACAGAAGAAGAGCTAGAATCTATATTAAATAAAGACGAAAACCAGTTGCATGAGGAGAGGGAAGCCGAGCCCAATATTACCGACCCTGTGATTAATGAAGAGGAAGAAATCGAAAGCGATACTATAATTTCAAACGCTGATTTGCAAAATGAAATTGTAGATAAGCTAACAGGAAAACCTAATAAGGAGACCGACAACCAAGAAAATACTACAGCTCTCTCAAATATAACGCAAAGTGATGAAGAATTAGTAATTGCTCTGGATAAAAAGAGACAAGACATCAGAAAATTAGTTGGACAATCACTGAAAAAGCAAGCAGATAAAATGTTAGCTCTATCTTCGGTAAAATATCCTGCTGCTAGTACGGGTGATAATGTAGTGGTAAAAATTCCTGATGTAGATCGCGCCAAAGCCGATGATAGAAACATTATGGCTGTTATAATTTCTCAGGAGACAGAAGGAATGTATAAATTAAGAACTAAGCATGGGATTCTAAATCAACTTTACGCAAGAAATCAGTTC